AGCTGGGCCCCCCCACTCAAAACTGCGGTTTTTGTCCCTTTTTTTCTTGACAAGAAATGCATTTATTAAGATGCGGAACCTTCAGCTTCACCTCAGCGTCAGGCGCGAGTCAAACGAGCGCGGAAAAGCTACAGCAGCCGAATGAGCTTCAGTAGAACAACTGTGAACTGCGGTCTGATCAGATGTTGTTAGACTATATGTCAGTAAAACACATTTTCCTGTCCCATCAGCCGTTTTACTGTCCTCACGCCGCACTCTTCCACACTTTGTTGTCATCCTGCCAGATGTGATGAAATTAGGAGTGGACGCTACACCTAAATATACCAGCCCTAAAACTCCCCATAATCAAAGGAGTGGACTAATTATGGTTATATCCTGTGCACCTGGGGCCGGAAACAAATACATTTTTCCACTCTTCTATTTAAAAAAAAACACAATAGGAAAATGTGATCCATTAAGGCATTTGATGGGATTACAAGTGCTGTAGACTTCACTGTATAGACTGCAGAAGCATATCAGTTGCCATCACTTCATGATTATTTTATCTTAACAGCCGACTATCAGACAGCTGCTATCTTTGAATGGGAATAGTTAATTCAGTTCTTTATAGTCTTTCAGTTGGCTACAGACCAATGCAATTATCTTTATTGTCACCGCAATTACCATAAACTGTAGTCAAATAAGTTCACCTACAGTCTGGGTCATAACATTGGTAATTATCTCAACATATGCAAATGTAAGTCTCTGTGAATCTACAGGTTTAATATTCACAGAGTAGTGCTCCTGTAAATGAAAATGTCACCATTTGTAAAATCTTAGAATATAGAAGTTAATAGAGCAATTAACACACACTTTTTATTTGATCTATTTGAAATGCATGCGGCCAACACTAGTCCATCTGAATAACTGTCAATCACTTCTAATCACTTAATGAAAAATCACATATCACGTTTATGAATGTATACAGAATTGAACTTAAGTTAGAAATGTTTCATTAAAAAATCATTTAAGAGACATTTAGAACTGGAAAAAGCCATAAACCTCTGTATTTCCATCCATATTCTCACATACTCGCTGTGGCTTTTGCCCTGATCTCGAGAAACTCTGTGATCCATGATGACTGCATTGCTGTGGTCAGGAATATGTTTCCGAGATGCAAATGAGCCCGGAGCTTTTCTAATTCATCGTCTTGCAGAATCCAGACAGACCTTTCCAGAACTCTTGATTTTTCCTTCAGAGGTCAACTAGACCATGAGGTCATTGTTTATGACTCTCCTCAAACACCACAAGCCACAACACTTTTTCATGAACGCAGTAATAGACCTATTTAATGGGTAAGAAGGTTCCTATGTCAGTTTTCCCCTTCCTTTACTATTTTAAGGCTCCATGCAACACATTTAATATGGCAACATTTTCCACCCTTGTCAAGATGTTGAGATGTCAGTCGGATTTCCTAATCTGTCAATCATGGATTTTCCTCAGAAGTGAGACATCCTGGAAAGGAATTAAAGACTGGCCTACTTCATGATGTCTCTCTTTTCAATAAGGCTCTTTTCCTCTATTTAAAACAATGTCGTCAGATGTGCAGTTGACAACTATTGTAATACACTGGTGTTTACAGCTGTGTGTTTGTTTGGATAGAGAAAAAAATGGCACATGCACAATATCATCTATGTATTCATGTTTCCGAAATAAGATATACACGACACCAGGGGTGGGGATCTTCAGTCGGTTAGTTTACCGACTTGAGAATCTTAAAATCCTTACATTTACATATCCTTACATAAGTAATTAAGTACTTTTTAAAATAATTACAAATTGAAAAAAATAATTAAAACAGTTGTATGTTAAGAATTTTAAACTAATATAACTTCAAAACATACAAGCAAGTAGCAAATAATAAAGAGGAGCATAGAAACATATTACAAACAACAAACAAAGAGTGCTTTCAGTATTTAAGATTAACGGAACGTTTTCCATTCAAGAACTGTGAGTAATTTTTCTTCATCTTTACTGTTGTTTTTTACTATGACATCATAGACAGCGGGAGATATATTAAGCCGCATACACGCACGGATCTCTTTTGAAATATAAGAAGTAATGTGG